CTCTGTAAACCGCTTAGAGAGGGCTGAAAGCCCTATGAAGCAGTATATAAGTCGAACTGCTATTGCTAGGTGCCAGAGGTGGCAACGCAGCGCCCTCTCTGTGGGCATACGAGCCGTCACACAAATTCAGCTCGTGCACGCCTCCCGCCAGCCAGCTGGTCTTCGGGCCTTTAACGCGCATGCACAGGAGGCGGGACCAAAATAAGTTTATCGCGGGCTGAAGAATAGTAAAAACTAAACAGACAACTATTATCAAGAAAGAAACTGCAGAGAACTGGAGAGATGAGAGAAGTTGGCTTTGATTGGTTTAAGTCCAGATCTTAAAAAGGGGAAATTCTCCAAGTATGTCCTTTATTGATACTGTAATACTGGGAGTGGATAAACCTTATGTTGCAACAGGGAAGGGGGGGGGATATCATCTCTTGGATTAAATCTCAAACTGCTCCTTTCCCCTCCCCCTTTTCCTCTTCTGCAGGCCGTCCGTTAGAAGAAACTGTTCTTCGGAAAGTTGCGATGTGCATTGGCGAACGGGTCCCTGGCGCCGGTGCCCCATAGACTGCGGAAGTGGCTTCCAGTCACGGCAAGTCAGCTGCGTACACAGGAAAAAGAAAAGATTGGTGGCCGATCAGTTCTGCGCCTGGAAGAAACGACCCACGACCTGGAAACACTGCAATGTCACTTCTTGTGACAGTGTGTAAAAAAAAAAATTAAAATACACACTTTACCTCCATTTCTCGCCTTGCCAGTTGCTTGTGGCAAAAAAACTGCGTTTAGAACCTGGTGTGTGGCTGAACATTAGCTGTAGAAGGAACTTGATACATCTGCGTTCTGCTGAACAGTGGCTGCAGTAAGCAGTGAAGAGGGGGGAAAGCCAAAGAACCCCCCCCCCTCCACCCCCAAGTTAGCTCCAAACGGTGCTGTGGACTGGATCAATATCTGTTAAAGTATCTTGTTCACGAGTGAGCCTCCAGGAAATCTGCCTGTTAAATCCAGAGTCGTTTTGAAAAAGACACACGGGGCAAAGAGAGAGGGAGAGAGAGAGGATATTTTATTTAGGTCTTACCTCTGTGTTTGCCAGACAGGAGATGTCGGTCTTAGGACTTCAGCATCCGAGATCCTTTATTGTGATGACGTAAGCTTTTGTCCCTTTTTGTCACATTTCCATGTATGTTTCAGAAGGCAACTGCAAGGACACCACTCACTACTGCACATCAGTGAAGCATCTAAAGCTATACTCGGGAGGCGTCTACAAGCAAAGGTGTTGCCAGTCGCGTGGAGGAAGTTAGTCTTTTATGGGAAGCGATGAAGGTTGCCCCACCAAGAGGAGAGTTTTCATTCGGCTTAGTCTTGTCTTGAAGGACAGGGAAGACGATCAACAAGGAAGCTAGCTGAATTGATAGCATGAATTCATAAATTCATAAACCCAAAAAATACGCCACACTTCACTTCATCCTCCAGGGAAAGATTGAAGGCAAATGAGATCCAGGCAGAAGAAGACCATCATGGCTTCAAAACCTAAGGGAC